TAGCTGGTTATTATAGAAGGTTTATCGAAGGGTTTTCTAAGTTGTCACTCCTGTTGACTAAGTTGACTTGTAAAGGTATAGCGTTTGTATGGGATGTTCAGTGTGAAGAAAGTTTTACGGAATTGAAGAAGAGGTTGACTTCGGCTCCGATTTTGACGTTGCCTAATCCAGGAGTTCTGACGTTATACGTATGTTAGTTAGAAGTTGCATTGCACTATTAAAGAATAGAAGTTCTGATAGAAGAAGTTGCATTAATCAGAAGATGTGATGATCAGAAGTTGTATCTGGTCAGAAGAAGGGGTTAGGCAGAAGATGTGATGATCAAAAGTTGTATCTGGTCAGAAGATGGGGTTAGTCAAAAGCTGTGATGATCAAAAGTTGCATCTGATCAGAGGTTGCATTAGTTAGAAGTTATAGTAGTCAGAAGATTATGTCGCCCAGAGGTTGCGTCATTAGAAGTTGTGTATTTAGAAATAGCGTTGGTTAGAGGTTGTGTGGTCAGAAGTTGGATGGCCTTTGCTTTGTTTTGTGCAGAGCGATGAACGTTAGATGCTTAGAAGCTGCTGTTTGAACTATAACAATAGGATAGTGTCAGTCTTGACGTTAGAGTTACAAAATGACAGTGTTGATTTACTGTGGAAATTAAATACAGCTGAGTTGTTAGTGAGAAGTTATTAATAATATTGTGTTGATGATTTATAATAAATACATGATGTTTGATGAATTAATTTGATGATCTGAGATGTTGATTGATTGAGATGTTTTGAGATGATAAATTGAGATGTTTTTGAGATGATAAATTGAGATGTTTTTTAGATGTTAAATTGAGATGTTTTGAGATGATTTGAGATGTTGTTAACTTGGGTGTTATTATTACATTCATGGTTGTGTCGCATACATTGCATTTTATTGAGATGGAGCTTATGCTCGTTGAGATGGCCTGGATTGGAAAATTTTGAGATGAAGGTTATGCCTTGTTAATGCCTCTATTAATTGGCAAATTTTTGAGATGGGAGTTCTGCTCCAATGGTACCACATGCATTTGCATAGTATTGAGTCGCATGATATGATTTCATAAAGAAGTGTATTTTGATGTGGATGAATGTATATTATTGCTGAGATTGTTGTTGATTATGAGATGAGAAGTGGTGACGTTGTTGATCTAATTTAATATATTAATTATAATGCACTTTATTATATTGTTAGATATCTCACCCTTCTGTTTAAATGTTTCCCTTATGTTGGTAACGTGCAGGTAATCGAGAGTGAATGCTGTATACCTTCAATAGTTCAAGTCGGTGTCATTGCTCTGATATGTAACACTCGGGGGGATGAACGCTTACTGTTTTTGATTGATGATTTTCAGTTGTTGTATTGTTGTTAAAGATGTTATTAAGAATTCCGCTGCGTAGATGTTGATTTATTTAATTAAAGATGTTGTGTTGATGGTTCATCCGATGTTTGAAAAAGTGTTATATATCCACGATGAATGCAATGAATTGTTAGAAGAATTTGTGACGTCCCGATTCATTTGTATGATTGAAATTTTATAACTCTGATTTATTTTGCATAATTGCTTGGGGTAGAATTGGGGTGTTCACCGTTCGAAGCGTTGAATAGCTAACGCAATGAAATTTATTCTTAAGGATTAAAATGAAGAATAAGAAGGATAATCCTAGTATCCAAATTAGGATTTGAGTTAATTCCCGCGTTAATCGCTATGTTGATCTTTGTGAAGAATGTTGAAGATGAGGTGATTATAGATTACTGTTTGGTTGGTAACAAAAGGATTAATGATGAAAATGATGTAGTATTACAGAATAGTAATATGTAGAGGTTTGGTAATTTAGAAGTAAGCCTTAGATGATTAATTAATTATAGGCAATATCATGTTGTAGGCCTATGGCCAACGTTACGAGATTGACGAGTTACTGTCGTATTGTTGTATGGTTGAGTTGTTGATGAAATGATGTTTGATGAATTATGATGTATAAATGATGTGTGATGAATTACGGTGATAAATGATGTTTATTGAAAGATGTGAGGTGCCTCTAATAATTGGCAGCTATTAAGATGTAGGCTTCTGGCCAACGATGATGTTGTCTTGAGACGTTGTTAATTATGGTGTTGTCATTACATTCATGATTGTGTCGCATACATTGCATTTCAAGATGGAGCTTATACTCGTTAAGATGGCCTGTATTGGCGAATATTAAGACGAAGGCTTATGCCTTGTTGATGCCTCTATTTATTTGCAGATGTTTAAGATGGGAGTTTTGCTCCAATGGTACCACGTGCATTTGCATAGTATTGAGTCGCATTATATGATGGCATAAAGAAGTTGTGTATTGATGCGGTGAATGTGTATTATTGTTGGTATTCTGTTGCAATTATTGTTGTTTATAAGATGAGAAGTGGTGATGTTATGTGATCTAATTTAATATATTAATTATCATACGTTTTATCATATTGTTAGATATCTCACCCCTTCTGTTTGAATGTTACCCTTACGTTGGTAACATGCAGGTAATCGAGAGTGAAGGTTGTATACCTTCAGTAGTTTGAGTCGGTGTCATTGCTCTGATATGTAACACTCGGGGGGGGGGGGATGAATGCTTGTTGCTTTTAATTGTTGATTATTTCAGTTATTGAACTTCAATTTGATTGTTCTTAAGTATGTGTTGTTTTGAAGTTGTTGTAACCATGGATAAAGATGTTATTATGAATTCCGCTGCGTAGATGTTTAAATTGTTGAAATAAGAGATTAAGTTATTATGCTAATGGTTCATCCGAAGTTTAAAGTGTTATGTATCTATGATGAATGCAATGTGTTTCTATTATGATGAATTTGTGGCATCCTGATTCATTTTCATGAATGATTATAACTCTAATTTGCATATATAATTGCCAGGTAGAATTGGGGTGTTACAGGATCAAAGTTTTTGCGGTACTGGATAGCTGCTGAACTGATAATAAAACCATTGTCATATGTAATAAGATCAAAGGTCCGGACCAATTCATAATACCAAGAACCAAAGTCATCAGTATAATCACAGTCACCAATAGAACATGTATAGTCACCATCTGTACCTGTAAAGATTATCCTCTCCCCACTCACGGGTAAAGACTAGGTCATGGTAAGGTCAATGGTAACTCAGAATCGAGGGCACTCTTGAAAAACTATCGCCATATCACCTACGTGAAAATGATAGCCCCTCATTTGTACCTCATCTGAGCATGGACGACATGATGGCATAGTGAAACCTAAGTCAACTAGCCATTCATGTTCCACTCTATTCCAAGTGAAACCTAAGCACAACAACAATATAACAAATAAAAATAAAGATGTAATGCAAATATATGCTCAAACATATACAAATGAATAAGCCATAAAGCATAATGATAAACACCCTAAGAAAAGAAAAACGGGAACTAGGAGTGACTCACGGGATGGACTAGCAATTGGTCTACATTTATTCCCCAGTGAAGTCGCCATTTTTTGCAGCGGTAAAATCAATGAAGTCACCATCGAGTATTTATTTATCCCATATAAAAGGGAAAGGAAAATCATCGAAGAAAAACCTAAAGGGGAAAATTAAGTTCTTGCGGCCGAGAGATTGGGTAAGGGAGTCGATTACACGAGGGGAAGGTATTAGCACCCCACACGTCCATAGTACTCTACGGGATCCACTCTCGTTGTTCTAATCAAAGGGTATGTCCAATCTAATGCTTAAGAGTTATAAACTAAGAGGGAATGCATGCAAAGAAAACACGGGGAAAAGAAGGACATATTTACAAATTTTTGCTCGGCTGAGCCCCGTGACTAGATGCATATGTATCCCTTTTAAGGAATCAGAGCGCCGTAGTTCGGCTCATATATTTTGTTTGTTTGTATTTTTTAAATAAATAATGTTGCATTCGATCATTTCACCGCTGCTCTACCTTTAGAGACTTACGACATGTAGTGGAAAGGAGCTAACATGCTCTTAAAAAAGAAAAGCCGAATGGCGAAAAGAAATGGATTGGTTGGTATTTTTTACCATGAAGAGAATTTTTGTATGCTTAGCATTTTTTATACATTTTCCAAGAAAAAAAGAAGTTTTAGTTTTAAATGCAATTATGCAAAAATGGGAAGAAAACATATCAGGGAGACTAACCTATCTATAACCTAATGTTATCATATAATGAGGGAACCTATCTAAGTTAGCATACCAAAGAAAGTCTAACAAAATATCCTATAGGGAACATACAATGAGAGTGAAGTCGTGATCTCAATTTCTAAATTGAGTGACTCATCGATCAAAAAGAAATAAAGGAAAGCGATAAAATCCTATAGGGAGCATGCACTGAGAGCGAAGTTGTGATCTCAATTTCTAAATTGAGTGACTCATCGATCAACAAGAAAGGAAACAAACACTAGCACGACACATGTAATAAATGAAGTGCGGTATGCCTGCTATAGGTCTTTAAGCAACGACTTCGAGTGCACGCTCTTTATTTCCTACTTCTCATGATATCTAGAAAGCAATAAAATATGGAAGAATAAATTGGAAGCAGTATAATACCAAACGAACAATAATTTCCGCAAAAAGCACAACCAAAAAAAAGAAACCCTGAATATTTCGCCTGAGTTGGCATTAACATACAAACAGCCAGAGATCGAATATTCAGAATAAGTGTCGAAGCATCATCGATGTGAAAATAAATCACACTCGGAAACTCAAACACATCCGCATATCAAACAATGAACCTGCACAAGACTCAACTCAACATGCAAGGGTGAATCACAAGTTTCAAGTAGTCGAAAAAATTAGAAATTAATTTCCTAAAAATCAAATGAGAAATATAAAATTTTTTTATTGATTTTTGTAGTTTATTACCCTAAAAAATAAGAGGCACTCCTAAAATCTATATTTTTTATTGTTTTTTATTACATGTATTTTGCTACTACTTTTATTATAAAAGAAATTTAAACTAAAACTAAACAAAATCTAGAAAACATGGGAAATATAATTGGTCAAGGGGTGTTAAACTGGATTCTGATGGGGTATTATAGTAAACTGGGCGCAGGGCCCATTGCATCAAGGTCCAATGGCATCTCTTTTTTACGGCACCTCAAACAAAAAACGCAGGGGGCAGGGCTTATGGAAGATAATTGTGGCCCGATCCATTACCTAGTTTGCATGTTTCAGATTTATTTACTAGAAGAAAGAAAAAAAGAAGGAAAAAAAATTAAGAAGGGACTAGGGTTATCTGCCGTGACTACTCAGCTTCAAGAGAAACTTCTCTTCATTCTCTCTTCAACGGTGCTGTCTTCTCTCCGTCGTTCTGTTCAGCCATGTCCTTCGTCGTCCCGTCTTGACTTTGTTTCAACTCAACACCGTGGCCCCTCCATCTTCATTTAACCTCTTAACCTACGTCTCAAATTGTGACTCACGGATTCGCTCAACGATCCACCTCTTCGCGGCGAATTTGACTTCACCACTTATCATCACTCTTCTTAAGCATTCGAATCGCTCATCTCCAGGTTGATGGAGGAGCTTCAATTGAAGCCTTGGTCAGAATTCTCAGTTGGAGATTTAATCGACTCCGATGACAATATAACACGAGATAGTTGTAAATTAGCACGAATCTGAAGAATGTAGCGCCTCAATTAAAAAAGGTTCAGTGAACTCACCAATCGGAGTCCGTCCAATGTGATTTTCGCGATAGTGACGACAAGAAAATATCAGGTACACCTTCTTGTCTCAATTCAAATTTTCTGATCAGTTTTTCATCCTCTTCTATATCATGCGTTTCTTGCGATTTCGTTGTACGTTCCTATGGTTGTATTGATGTTGACGTGATTCGTTATTACAGTCGTGATGAAGTGATGTGTATTGAAGGTGTTGGACAGAAGATGGAGATGTTGAGGTTGTGGAATCTTGCAGAAAATTGCGGGGAAGCCGAAAATTGATGACGGATGAAGTTTTGTGATGAATGATGAAGATGGAATAGGAGGTGTGGTTATGATAAAGGTTGTAGAATCGGTGAAGATGTTGTGCGAAGGACACAGAGAATGATGAAGGTGATGAAGCAGATTGAAGATGTAGAGGTCTAGAAATGGATGAAGATGGAGTAGTGAAGATTTGTGGGTTCAGAGAGAGAGAGAGAGAGAGAGAGTGAGAGAGAAATAAAAGTGAGTTCTTCTCTGTGCTTTTTTTGTTTTCTGCATCATGAATCCTCTCCTTTTAGAAATCTATTACAAATCCGTTAGCCCCTCTGTTTCAATTCTGTTATGAATCTTTTTCTCCTATCTCAACTCAGTTTTCTATTTCTGTTCTATTTTTGTTATGGATGAAAAATGGCCTTGGTTAATTCAGTTATGAATTGGTTATACAGTTACAAAACAGTTATGGAAATTGATCTCTGGGATTTTTCTATTACGACAGTTATAGGACATCTCTGACTTACTGCTATTTCAATTATTTCCTGATTTTTCTACTTGAATAAGTTTTCTGATTAGTATTTTATCACAATTTTTATGTCTTTGGTTTGAAACCTGGTTATTTATTTTATTCCCTCTTTTTCTGCTGAACTGAAAACATTGGTTTTCTCTGCTTCTGCAATCTATTCAACATTATCATCCCTAGTCGCAAAACTTCATTTAACCATACTCTTTGTTGAACTATTTGACCTTTCCTGTTTCTCCAGGTATATTGTCCATCTCAGAAGATATTTCTCAGTAGCACAAATCCACTCTGAAGTAAGCCTTCTACTTTTTTTCTGTTAAAAATTGCGAACTGACTTTTTGCTTTGATGAGTTGCTGAACCGTTTTTGCTTATGAATTAATGCAGGGCTAGTGTATGAACTTGCTCACTTTTCTCTCCTGTGTTTGCAGCATGACATACTCCCGACATTCATGTGAGCTTGTGTCAATTGATTGAAATAGGGATGTTTCATTATATGGGCAAATTGAGAGGAAGCATAGGAATATGTTTGAGACATTCGAAGGCGAGGCATGAAATTTGAATTGTAGACATGAATCAGTGGAGATGGAAGCACCAAAATGGTAGCCATTAGGTTTAGGATTGGACATAGGTTTTATGTACGGTTTTTTTTGTAATGTCTTGTAAAAATGAACAATTCGTCTTGTTTCTTGAATTCTAAAGAACTAAACTTGAACGAATATGGAAGTATTTGAATTTCAATCTTCAATTGAATGAAACATTCGAATCCATGACTTATGGTTGATAAAATCTCAAGTAACTTTGTAATGAAAGCATATTGGTATCTTTTGCATTTTTGAATAGAACTTTGTTCATGAATGAAGCTTTGAATAAAGTCAAATTTTGATGATTTTAATGAACATTTGTGATTGGAACCTTGATGACATTTGATAACCGTGAGATGACTTTAATAATGATGTGTCTCGTAACTTACTTTATCCAAGACATCCACATACATGAATGTTTTAGTCTAGCACTTTTGAATTACTTTGTGACAGGTCAACGTTGATGCCATAGTGAAACCATAAACCAAAACCTTGAATCACCTGGTCATATTAAACTCATAGCACATTTGGATGAAGCTTTTGATCTTGAGTCCACATACCTTGCAGTTGAAGCAATTCATTTCACTTGAATGACTAGTGACTTTAGTCCATACTTGTGTCATGATTCATGTTTTTGCACTTTAAACCTCGAAGACATCCTAGCTCGGTAATGAACAATCTTGCAACAAGATTAAAGTTGTGAGGAACCAATGGAAAACAAGTGGTAAGACTTGAAGTATCAAATCCAATGACCTTCAGTTGAAATGTTGACAAACTCAACCACCCTGGATAAAAACCCTAATCCGTTTATGAGTATCATAATGAGAATAAGATGCCGATTCAATCCTCTAAACTTCTTGAAAAGAATATCTTGTAGTGAAGACAATTAGGAGGAACCCCCAATTATCTTGATTTGGATGCAAAATGATGAGGAGACAACTTGAGGTATTGGGAGGAATCGAAACTCTAGCTCATTGTCTGCTCAATTTCAAAATATGATGAAACCTATGCAAACAAAGGTAAAGCTCCGATGCACTTGTTCTTGAGAAACTTTTGATGTAGAAAACCTTTTGTCTCGAGGAAACCTGTTAGTGAAGACATCTATGATGCTTGTGATCCAAAACCCTAATCTCATACCAAGAATAATGAGAGCACTAGTTGAATTAATTTTGAGTAAGACAACAACCTCAATTCATAGAGAGAAACCCTAATGCCAAAGCTCTTTGATCCTGTAACCATGGGACCAATGCTATGTGTGAGATGTACAAAGTATGATGAGGGATCTTAGGGGAAAAATTGGGGTATAACAGATATGAAGGAGAAATTCTCAAGAGATTTGAGATGGAAGAATGCAACTTGACTTCGACACTTGCAGAAACAAGACTACAACTTTCGAAAGATGCAGAAGAAGATGATGTCGACCCAACCCAATATAGAAGACTTATTAAGTCATTAAAATACCTTTGTCACACGAGGCCTGACTTAGCATATAATGTAGGTATGGTAAGTAGATTCATGCAGAAGCCAAAGGTATCACATTCTAGCAGCGGCCAAGAGGATATTAAGGTATCTGAAAGGAACTCTTGACTATGGAATTTTGTTTCCTATAGTTGATAAGGGAAAATAATGCAAGTTAGTTGAATACACTGATTCAAGTTGGTGTAGTGATGCTAAGGATCGAAAATCCACGACTCGTTATGTGTTTATGCTAAGTGGTGTACTAGTTGCTTGGAGTTCGAGAAAAGAACCAGTAGTGGCATTATCATCTTAAAAAGTAGAGTACATAGCTGCTTCTCTTTGTGCATGTCAAGCTACATGGATACTGAACTTGGTAAAAGAGATTACAAGTAAAGATCATGGAGCAATTACCATGAATATTGATAGCATGTCAGCTATCAATCTGGCGAAGAACCCGATAGCTCATGGTCAAAAAAGCACATCGAAATGAGGTTCCACTATATTCGAGAGAAGGTAGAAGATGGGAAGATGAACTTGGAACACTGCAGAACTGAGAATCAGATTGCAGATATCATGACGAAGTGTGTGCAGGTTGAAGTATTTCAAAGACTAAGAGCTATGATGAATGTAGATAGCTTAGAAACAATGAATTAGGTGGTGTGTTGAAAGTAATTCCTTATGCTGAAGCAGTTTGCTCAACAAAGACAAGGAAATGTCGAAAGGATTTGATTTAGTGTGGAAATAGTTTGTTACACACATATTTGCTTTAGGTTTAGATAGATTTGATTTAGATCTAAAATAGAATAAATTTGATCTAGTTCCAAAATAAGTATTTTGGGATTTTATAGTTTTGGTATTTTGGCTTAGAGAGCAAGTTAACCTAAATCTATAAATAGAGGGAGTAACCCCTATTTTTTAATCAAGTCAACTAAGTTATATTCACGGAATTTGCAGTTGCAAGTGAATAACAAAGTTTTTCCACAGATTATGGGCAGAGAGAAACTCTGTAGAAAATAATTGACTTCTCTTTCTTTCTTTTCTTTCATATTTTTAATTGTCATTGTTCATCAATAACAATCTTGTTCATCAAGATTGATAGAAATTCATCATAGGATTTGGTGGATTTCCAACAATTCATACATTTCTCACAGAGTATTTATCTCTTTAACTTGGATGTTTGAATTCTATAAAGAACAACAATGGAAAATGCGAACTCTCATCTCATAGACAAAATTAGTTTATATGTTATGCACATCTACAACTGTCAATAGCGACCAACTCTCCAACATTCGACAAGTATAATATTACGTGGTCTTTTGTCTTCTGCTTTTATTTCCCGTGTCTTCAGTTCTTGAACTTCTACAAAACTATTACATCTATCGATGAACATCTTTAGGTCCTCCAACTGTCTCTGCCAAGAATCAATTTGCTTACTGTCGAATCCTTGGGATTTTGGCGTCGTAAACATGATTTAGCTACTTGTGTTTAACCTGTATATTTATCTCACATCTCCACTCCTGTCGAATATGCTTGAGTAAAAAATCTCTGGCTAATTATATGAGTTAAAAATCTCAGGCTAACATATGCCCTCCAAAAAATGTCATTTCAATCATATTATTAATATGGCAGACAATTGGCGTTTTTTAGTAACTCAAATTGATATTCAAACCATCTTTCTTATGTTATTATCATCATTAGCACTAGTTCCTAGCCATCACATCAGCTTACACGCGTGTATCCACTATCATGGTTCCAACTTTCAACGCCATTGTGGCCTATAAGATTCACCGCATTGAATAAAAATAAAATCATAATTTATTAATATTTTAACACAAAAAAAAAAACGCCAATGTTTTAGTATTAGAGAGAAAACAAAATGTCTCATTTCGAATCCTATATAACTCCCTCTTCTCTTTTTTCTTCCGTTTCACCACTTTCATCCTTTTGAACCTTAAGAACTTTTGTTTTCCTACAACTTTGATTTTTACCACTCTTTCTTCTACTAAAGTTCTAAGAATAATGACTTCTTCTTCAGGCATGAAAAAGCAACTCCTGATTCCTTCTACTGTTGATCTTTAAGGACCCATCTTCATTAAAAATCGTAACTACGTTCTAGAATCTCCAATGGAGAGGGAGAAAACTTCCATATGGGTTTCTTAGGTATTTATCCCCTTTTCTCTTACAGATAACGTTCATGCATTTCTGGGTCCTTTACCCATATCACCTATGAAACCAACAAAACTGAAAAAGTTCTTCCCCTTTTCACCATCATGCAAACCTCGTGTGTTTGAAGATAGAAGTTTTGAGTTGGATTTCATGGAACATCCAAATCGTGTATTTTGTTCTTCTCCTTCCACCAACAATAATTCTTATCTTAATTGGTTGCACATAATACAAAATAAGAAAGAATAGACTTTGAAAGATCAAGGTATTTTTTATTTGATCCAACTATAAAAAAATGGACCTAGGTATAACCCCTACATGCTTATAGCTGTCATATGTTTTTGGGAGTATTCGATTAATACTTTCCATTTACCATGTGGGATGGTCACTTCTACTCTTTTCAATATCGCTACTATTACTGGTCTTTGACCAACTGGGAAAACTTTAAACCTCACTCTTAAGCACCAGATCAAACCTAATTTTACTTTTGACCGTCCTAGCTTCAACAACTATAACAAATACCATCAAGACAAAACTGATAAAATCTCAGACTATGAGCATAATGTTTTCCTCACCCTTTAACTATCACATTTCATTTTTTGTTCTAGCTCCCTTAAAGTAGCCCAGAAATTTATACCTCTTGCAACTCAGCTTCATGAGGAAAAGGATGTATGTCTTATTAAAATGATCTTAGGCTACCTTTATGAGTGTTTAGGAAATGCTTCTCGTGACCTCAAATCTCGATCAAACCTTAAGGAGAACTTCCTGGTCTTTGGCCCCATCTGACTTTTACAGCTTTGCCTCAATGCCACTTTTAAACCCTTTCTAAACATAGGAAAGAGTTTTGTCTAATTTGGAAATATGAGTCGAAGGTATAAGGCTTGATTCGCTGACCCCAAATGATAGTAATTGTTCGACTAAAAAGGCTTTTTAAAAGTATTTCTTCATGATTATATATCGTACTGAATTTGTCTCTACTATGAATCCACTTACCAGTCAAAGCTATGGGCTAAAGTGGTTCAGAAGAGCATTTCCAACCTCTTCACCTGGAAGCCAAATTGAAGCTCTCGATATTTGGATGGAATTCTTCAAAATCATTGTCTTGGCGACTAGAATTTCAATTGTGGAAGCTAGCTTTGGTCTTGTCGCATACTAACCAAATTTGGTAGCTAGACAATTTGGCTTCAG